CAGCGGGGTTTAATGAACATTTAAAATGCCATGCTAGGAGTAGTAGGGGGATCCAAAGGATATCTCAGGTCAAATATCTTCAGAATCTTAAGATGATCAGCCTCCTGACTCCACTTCCAACTAGTACGAAATAGTAGATAAGGGAGAGTAGGGCACAAGGTCCTGGGTGCTCCCTCTTTTCCATCTACCCCCAACATTACCTATTGCAAAGCCCATGCAAAAAGCCACATCCGCGATGGCATAGACACTCCCATACACCGAGGTGTGACGCAGGTCTACCAGGTGTCCCATGGTGGGCATCATAGAAGAATCCACCATACCTGTGGCCAAAGCGAACAAGATACTGTCAATCAGCTCAAGCCATGACCCCCTCCCTGCTCATGGCATCCTGACCTCTCCTCCTGCTTGATTTGGTCTATGTTCCTTGGCTGCTGTCCTCCCTGTCATCAAGGATATCCATTTCAGGTGGGAACTATAAGCCCATCTCCCCACATCTCTCCATTCACACTCCTACTCCTTCTGCTTTCCACTCACCTCCTCAGATAAGAAAAAGAGAAGGAGGGCATCTGACCCCAAACCAATACTTAGGGGTTTCTGGTTTTCCTAAGGGGACTTCATACCTATGGCAAAGCCAAGCCCTGCAATGGGACCAATGAGGCCAAAAATATTGTGAGCCAGAGGAACCTGCAAGAAAAGGAGGAAAAACCATCAGAAGGCCAACTGGCCATGATGAGACCAGTGCTCAAATGGCTGTTACATGAAATGCATTTATTAGACACATGCTATGTGCCACATACATTGTCTCTTTGGAATCTCACATCTTCCCTATAAAGAAGAATCTTTACCTCCATGTTAAAGATATAAAAACAAGATTGGTACCATTTGAGTTAAAATCCCAGGATTAAGTTTTAACCTCAGGCTTGATTCCATTGTACCATAACAGTGGTGCTTTTCTGGTGCATGGATTATTCGTCCCCTTTCCCCCACATCCCTTCCCCTGAAATCCAAACACACACTTCTGTCCTCATTCTTCATTGAGTGCAGTTGCTTCTCTTTTCTATTAGCAACATCACCCAAAGGTGTTATTTGAACCCCTAATACTGAGGCTGTTGGAATAAGAATATGGAAAACTCAGGCCAACAACTAATTATCCATGAGCTGGAAGTGCAGGTAGTATTATCTGAGGTGACAAATAGCAAACCTGTGAAACTCATCCTCACTGTCTTCCTAAACCCACACTGGGAGATTTCCTTCACTCTTTGGCTAGTTCTCTACATCCCTCCCCAGGTACCTGCCCTTTTCATTACCCAACCCTGCCACCTAGTTCACTCAGTGAGTTTTTGCTGTCTTCTGAGTGTCATTAGCCTTCAATGATTCAACATATTGTTTAGATGCTGATAACAATTTCACATGTGACTTCCTCAAGGGGTATTTATATTTTATCAATAATGTTGCCTAAGAGTTACTACGGCTCACCATGTGCCATACACTGTGCTCAAAGTTTATGTGCTCAACAACCATATGAGATAGAATCCTCCCTACACTGATGAGGATGCTGAGGACCTGAGAGGAGAAAACCAAGGCTCAGAGACCTTAAAGGGAGCTCTTGAAAATGGAAACTCTGTTCTTCCTTTCTTTTTCTCTTAAACCTTCTGATGCAAGAGACTAAAGCACAGATCCCTTGGAGGAAATCCCTGGTAATTTATGGGGCACTGTCAGGGCGAGATGAGTAAATGAAATCTTAAAATGTATGCTTTTGCTGGCCTCAGAAATACCATTACATATCGCTTCATATGCCCCAAACATCTGGTCATACTTAGAGTCTCAGAACTCTGGCTCCAGTTAGTCCATCACCTTCTCCATCTTCTCCTCCTCCCTTCAATGGGATGCCAACCTCAGCCAGCAGCATTCCGTAGGTACTAACTCCAATTCAGGTATATATGGCCTTTCTGACAATTGTTGCCAAGTCAAAGGCTTTCATTTTAAAAGAAAGCCATTCTTACATCTCTGTTTCTCTCTCCCCCCTTCTCTGTCTCTCTCTCTCTTTTTCTCTCTCCTCCCTCTCTCACTCCCTCTCTCTCTCTCCTTCCTTCTTCTCCCTTCGTTTGTACTAGTCCTTGTACTTACACAGAGCAAACTGGTACCTACTACCACCATCCCAATCAGAGAGCACAGCCACCTAGAAGAAAAAAGCTATCATCAAACATTGCTATGTGGAGGCATCCTTTCCACTTGCATCCCATCACTGGTAAATCCTACCACCCCTAACTCCAGCAGCCCCTTAGGACCTGAGAAGAGAAATTAATCTCTATATGCCCAGTTTTCATCTAGGTTTACTCTTTACCTATCCTTTCCTTGCCCCTCTCTCTTCTCAGGCTCTATATCTCTTTCCAGTAGAGTCAAGGAAGGTACAGTGGTATACACATTCTTCTTTTCTTTAGAAGAGGAATCAGCTGACTCAGAAAGTACTCAACCTATGGGAGTCTCTCCAAAACTTAATTCATGCTGTTTTCCAGTTCATACTATGCCCTCTTGCTACCTCCAACCTATACATATTTTGTTTTCTTCAAGGTCCATTTCAAAGCCCACAAGAATACCAAGCTTCTTTCTGCTTTGATCTCCTAGCAGTGATTTTCAAACTTAAAAGAGAAAAAAAAAAAAAAAAAAAGCTGAACTCCAAATAAAGCATCTTTGATTATAGTGGATAAGTAGAATCCAGACTAACACCTCAGCCTCCTCCTTGGTGGCCTCTGAGACACTTCTGTGTAACTCCCAAAGTCCCCAGGGAATAATTTCACAACAATTGCCCCCCTCAATGTACTGCAATGGTTTTTGTTTTCATTTGCCATAACTGTTCCCTATAGAGCTATTTTATGTCTTTATCTGTACAGCAAACACCTAAAAAGAAAAGGTTGTTCCTCACACATCCACTGCCTCTTCTATAGCAACCAGTTCAAGACCATCCTTTCTCTATCCTTCCTTCACCATCTACCCAACTCCCATCTTCTCAGCATGCAGTTACTATCATTGTGCAGTTGTCCTAAACTCTCAATCTCAGAGAAGCTGTTTCTCATCCTAGCTGCAGGGACAACCTCAAAGAGCTCTCTTATCCTACATTCTTATGCCTTCTTCTGCTCCCCAAGCTACATACCTGCCCATCTTGTTAGCCAACACACCAAAGAGGTTGGTACCAATGAGGTAGGACAGACTGCCAGGCAAGAAAGCCAGACCTGTAGAAAGACACAGATCTCCACCTTAGAACATGCTCAGTTTACTCTTATAACAACTCAATTCCTACAGAACAATGAAGCCCTCATGTTACCTTCAATGGTCCCAAAACCACACTTGGCTTTGCGGTTTTGATATTTCTGCACAAGTCCCAAGCAGTTATCATAGGGCCCACACCTTTGCTTTCCCTAAGGACAAGACCTTATTCAGCTTCAATACATTTAATATGCTTCTAGCTCCTCACTTATGCTTCCTGGTAAATGATGAATCTTCCCGTGTATAAAATACCTTTGATGATCAGCGTAAGAATATGAGTTTTAGAGAAAGATATACCTACTGTGAAGCAAGATATCTGCCCTGCTACTTACCATTTCTATGATCTTAGAGAAGTTAATAAACCTCTCTAAACTTTGGTTTACACATCTGGCGGAAACAAAGCTATTATTGTATCATGCCAGGTTATAGTGAGGAGAAATTTATATAATGTATATAAAAGTATTTCATAAATTGAAACCCTTGCCACATTTTGTTTTGTTTTGTGACAGTTAAGTGTTCTGGAAGCATGGGCTTTCGTGTCACACAATTCTGCATTCAAATTGTGACTTGGCCACTTATGAATTCTATAATCTTGGGTGATTTACTTATCATCTCTGAGTCACATTTATTAATTCTCTCATTCATCCATCCATCCACCAATCCTTTCATCTACTCATTTTAACAAAATTTTACCATATGTTAATGTGTTCTAGGGGCTAGAAATAGAAAGATAGATAAGACGTACAAGATCTTAACTCTCATGGAGCTTACATTCCAGGCAAGTGAGACAGGCAATAAACAAATAAATGGAAGAGATAATTCTGAGAAATAGTCAGTTCTGTGAAGGGAATTTAACATGGTGATATGGCAGAATGACTGAAAAGAAGGGCTTCCTTAGATTTGGTGGTCTGGGAGATCTCTCTGAGGAGGTGATATTTAAGCTGAGACCCAAATGGCCAGAGGAGGGCACTTCAAGCAGAAAAAAAACAAAAAAGGCAAATTCAAAGTCCTTAATGATGAAACCACTTAGTCTGATCTTATATAGAAATGAGGTCTGTGTGATTGGAGAATAATGAGCAAAGTGAAGTGTGGTAGAAGATGAAGGCCCTGGAAAATAATTTGGGATGTATTCCAAGTGCAATGGGAAGCTTTGGAAGGGAATTATATAATACGATTTATATTTTCTAAAGTCCCATGATTGTGTTCAGAAGGATGGATTCATGTGGCAAGAGTGGAATTCAATAGATTATTTGCAGAACCCAGGAGAAATGATAGTGCTTCCATTAAGAAGTCAAGACAGAAATAAGTGAATAAAATGAGAGGTGTTTTGAAAGTACAGTTAGGGAAATTTTCTGGTAAATTGGGTATGTGTAGACATAGTGAGAGTGAGGAAAAGAGAGAGCCAAAAATAATTCCTATGTGTTGGTCTCAATCAATTGAGTGGCTGGAGATGAAGAAGACTGGTGGACTAGAAAGACCTTGGGTGTAGTAGGGCACATGATAGGTTTGAAATGTTTATTAGACATTCAACTGGATATGTAAGTTAGTTGGATACATAAGCCTAGAACTCCAAGGATAGGCCATAAAAGTAGATATAAATTCTAGACACATTGGTTGATGCATGATTCTTAAATCATGGGAAGGAATGGGGTCACCTATGAGAGATCAGATAGAGAAGAATAAAGATCCAAGGTCTGAGCCTTGACAGTTTTCAACCTTTAAAATAGGAGTAGCCAAAGAAGGAGGTGAGACGGGATGAAATGCAGAAGGCAAAGAGGGGTTGGGCTTTATTAAGAGCTGTGATGCTTCAACCATAATTGGAGATAAGGCAAGAGAGAAAGCAGTAAATGTGGGTACAAGTACAGAGAAGCAGGTACATTTAGTGATGGGAAAATGGGTGTTCTTGTCTGATTCCTTCTATTTTCTCAGTGAATATGAGGCAGACAGGAGAATAATAAAGATGAAAGGATGGGAGGATATAGGAGGGTTGAATTGAGAGTATAAAGAGATAAATTTGGAAAGTGGGAAGGGAAACATAATTAGGGATGAATGAAAGGAATGTTGGATAGTATGAAAAACCACTTTAGATTTGTGGTCATGCAAGGTGAGACCAACAGTCTAGCTGAATTTTTCTGCAACTCCATTCAGCCACTGTGGTGCAGGCAAGCAGTAGGCAACCACATAGGTTTAATCAGGGTTAAAGTTTTACCAGATGACTACACCAGAGGGAAAGAGGGACACAGGGAGCTTACAGTGCTTACAAAGGAGTGAGATTAATGATGGATCATAGAATCCAAGAAGAGTACAGAGAGATGGGAGGATATGAGTAGCGATGAAAAATAGAAAAATAAATGGGACCAATGGATTGGTGATATCGATGTGACCAAAAATTGTTGATATGAGGATATTAGAATATTTGTGCATGTGTGAAGTGATGATAGAACTGCTGGAAATTGAGATTTCAGAGGTAATACGATTAGTGGTGATAGAAAAGTCAAGGGTATGACTGTAATGTTGATTGGCTGCAGTAGGGAGGAGAAAAAGATCATTGCAAGAAACTAGATTAAGGAAGTATGAGGCCAAGATATTGGTAGGGCCACTCACCTAGAACGAAGTCTCCAAAACTAGTCACAGAAGTAGAAGTAGAAAGAAGAACTTGAGTCAAGTGTTGATAGCCTGAATGAATGAGGAGGGGTAACTAAAAGTTGGTAGAGGATTACGATGAAGGGGGTGGGGAGGTATAATCAAATGACATGACCGTCAAAAAAGTTGAGGTCTTTGAAGGAGAAGAAGCGATTCAGAAGCAGCAATAGAGAGCAAAGTCCAGAGGAACAATGAACTTTGATCCTGAGGACTCCATGAAAATGCTGTTCTTGGGAAGCATCCAGGTTTCAGGGCAAAAACATGAAGGAAGCATTCAGTGAAGAACATACGACAGTTGCTGATGACAGAGAGTTCCCCAGGCCTAGATTTAAGAGTACCGTAGGAAACTGGGTCAGGTAGAGAAACCCATGAAGTATGGGGATTATAATAATTATTACCAGATAGGCTGACTGTGGGGATTAAATAAGACCAAGCATATTGCATGGTTCCTGGCACAAAGTAAGTGCCCTTTGAACATTGGTCTTCACCATTATCATCATAACTAGTGGATGATAGAGGCTTGAATCCAGACCTTGTTGCTCCAAAGCCAGTGCTTTCCACAACTCCACAGGCCCAGAGTGGTAGCACAAAAGGGTCTGGCATAGGGACTGCTTGGAATCAGCACTGTAAGGTTGTGTTTTTTTTTGTTTGTTTGTTTTTTTGAGGGGGGATCCCAACAACCCTTTCCACGTCTCTCTGTACTTAAAGGAAATAATGCTGCCATATATATAAAATCATAGCAATGACAATTAAACCAAAAGCAAACAACAACTCACCAGGTACTGGTTGATGGCTTGTTTGTTTTTAATATTCTCTTCTATGGAGTGGAAGGGAAGCATGCCCTAGCATATTTGTCTAGTTTATCTGTACAGGGTGGCAACCTGTTTCAAACTGGACATATTTGTTTGTAGTCAATTGCTTTTACAAAATTTAGAGGCTATAACTACTCAACTCTTTATCTCATATCTGGAATTAAAAGATGTAGCCTCCTAAATACATCTCCATTTTAAATGAGGTGAAATTTCCTGAACAAGAATTTTTCTTAATCCATGTGGTTTATCCTATAGTACTGGGTATAGCTTGTATTTCAGTGGTATTTTATGCAAAATAACACACCAATAACTATGTGTTAGGACACATATATCTTTCTCAGTATTATCTTAGAGGGGTGTAAGGTTACACGAAGCCTTGGCTATATTAACATGATTTAAACAAAAACAATGATGAAAATAGTAATAATAACAATTTTTATTTACTGAATATATCTTCTATTTCATGGATAGTGCTAATTCCTTTAGAATACAGATATCTAGTCCTCAGAGCAGCTCCAAAAAGTATTTCCAGGTTTACAAAAGAAAAAATGGGAGCCCAAAGAGGTTGAATAATTTTTCCAAGGCCTTAACCAATAAGTAGCAGAGTCAGGATTTAACCCCATTTGACCCATTTCAAAGTCTACTCTGTTTTCCTGTGCTTGGGCCAAATGGTGCTCATTCAGAGCACAAATCACTCTCAAAAGCACTGTTATTTGCTCCTCCCAACACCTTGAGAGGTACTCATTTAGTGCAGTGGTTCTCCAAGTGTGGTCGCCTGACAAGCCATAGCAACAGCATCACTTATTAGACATATGAACTTGTTTCTACTGAATTGCTGGGTAGGTCCCACCAATCTGTGTTTTAACCAGCCCTCCAGGTGATTCTGATGTAAGGGTGTTTGAGACCCTGTGATGTTAGACTTTACAGAATCAGAAACATCTGCTGTGTTAACCCAGGAAAGTGGTGAAAGATATTGGAGACCAAGCCTTAACCTAAGTGTTCTGACTTTATACCCAAAGGCCTTTCTACAGGAGCCTCAGTCTGAGAAGGGCCATTCCCTACTATGGTTGCTCATATGTGCCAAGAACCTGAGTGGCCAGGGCTTTGGGGTAGGGCTGTGTTATCAGCACTGAACACTGAGTAACTTGATTAATTGCCGTGGTCAGAAGAAGCTACAGTCCAGAAAAATTCAATTTGGGGCTAGGAGTACAACTGGGAGCCTTGCTTAGAAGTGTGCCCTAGAAAATTAGATTTAGTGCTTTTTATTGCATACTGAGCTATAGCAGGTCCTTCTCAGATTCCCCTCTGGCCCGATAAACCTCTTCTCCCTGCAGTGACTGAATGATTTGCACATAGCTTTTACTCTTCCCTTTCCTCAAGCTTCCTGAAAAGGGCAGGAGCCTCTTTAAACTCAGAAGAGTCATGAGGTCTCCTCAAAGGGCCGAGGAAGATGGAGGCCTCTCCCCAAGGCCCAGAACTTTCCCCTCAGGGCCGGAGGCAGCACTTTCTCCAGGCAAAGGCAGCAAAAAAATATACTCCGTAAACTCTTTTTTTATGGGAATGGTAGCAAAGAGTAATCTGGATGATAGGGAGTTTAAGAGAAAAATGTGAATGGTAATGGTGGTGTGGGTTAATATTGTACATGTTACAAAGCATTAACACAAATTATGCCATTTACTTCTCCAACTAACCAGCTTTTGAACTACATATTATTTTGATGCCCATTTTAGAGATGGAAAAAGTGATGCTCAGGAAGTTTAAGTGACTTATCCAAGTCTGCACAGCTAATTAACTGAGCTAAGACTCACATCTAGGTCTTTTGACTCAAATTCATTAATCCTTCTACCCACCATCCACTGGATATGTGACCTTTTAACACCCCCTTCATTCTATGCCACTCTGCCCTTTCTCAGGCTGCCTTTCTGAGAAACTGCCCACCCCACTCCAGCTTGATTCATGGATGTGGACATAGAAGGTAACCTCAAGATGTAAGGATATGTGTTCCTCTGTGATCCTGATGATCTAAACTTGCTGATGCTTCTCAATAACCTGAGAAAGGGCCCAAGCACCCACTTCCTGCCCAAGCCTGAGTTCAGACTGCAGTCACTTACCCAGCTGCCAGTTAGGGGTACACATGGTTTGCATCATCCAGATGGGCAGGGTGGGTTCCAACATGGCCACCCCCATGTTGGCAAAGCAGAGGGAGCCTGGGAGACAGCCAACAGTTACCCTGTGAGCCACCCACCACTGCCCCAAAGCCAACCCTCTCCCAGCCCAAAGTGCAGCCATTGCTTGCTTACCTGCAGCCACAATAATATAAGGATCTTTGAGAAGTGTGAAGAGTGGGGTGCCTTGGACACTCTGGAGAACATGGAGAACAAATATTTCCATTTGTACAGTGTATACATCTCTCCTATTATCACAGAATCTGAGAATGTTCAGATAGGGTTTTAATACCATCTACCTCACTCAGCTCCTTTACTATGGAGATGAGGAAACCCAAGTCCAGGAAGGAAAATAACATTGCAAATGTCACAAAGTGAGCTGCTGTCTGCAAGGAAGGTACTGTGGTAGTCACAAAGAGGGGAACAAAATGTTCTAGACATAATTCTTGCCTTCATATGACCAATAGCCAGATTCTGGTTAATTGTTAGTAAGGTCAGTATTAAACAACAGGTATCTGGGCACCTGGTCTAAACAGCAGATGTCACTAGCGCTCATCTTCTTCCTGAGAGAATCACAGGCAGAATGCTAAATCCAAATTATGGTGGTGGAAGTGACAGAAAGCTACTCAAGTCTTCTTAATTCTTTGTCCTGAACCACTTTGAGCCAAACTGGACTGGTACAAAGGAAGGAGCATAAGCTTTGGAGTCAGAACAACTGGGTTGAGATTCTAGCCTGTCTAGCTCCTTCCATTTAGTATATACTCTTCATTCTAGCTAAACTAGGTCTCTCTACCTTCCTTCAATATATCCCAGCAGTCCCTTAGCCTTCATTGTTGGCTTTGCCTAAACTACCTTCCTTCTCCCATCACAGATCCAAACCCCACCCATTCTCCCTATCAATCCTCGGAACACAGGTCTGGTGATCTGCTCCTAGAAGGTGACAACCTTGAAAACCCTACAGAGCAATTCTACTCAGCACAGGTAGTCTTGCCATGAGTCAGAATTGAATCAAAGGCAGCGAACAACAACAACAATATGGACATATAAACTATAACTGGCTTATAAAATATTAGAGAATTATACAGATAGGTAATTGTGTTGCTTTTTCTGGGATCCAGGCGTCTCATCATAAAATATGGAATAGAGTAAATAAAGGAAAAATCCTACGGAGTTGGGTTGAAATTGGAGGTCTCAATATTAATATATATAGTTTCCTACCTCTGTCATTGAGATGGCCTAGAAATGAGATCTCAGTGACAATGAACATACTAAATACCCAGATTTTTTTAAATACTGTTCCCCACTGAAAAGAACTGGAACTCCTTGGGAGAGAAATATACCAGAAAATATGAAAGTGCTTAGAGAAGTCATCAATGGCATGTAAACAGAGCATTGAAGCAATTTGAAGGGGCCACCACTGGCATCCATTGCATAAAATAAGAGTGCATAAGTTCACACTGATAATAAAAATAATAATAATAAAATATATCATACAGAGAGAAAGTATTTCTCAGTAATAGAGCAACTGATGGACATAGAGGAATTGATAGAATGAAAAGACACACATGTTGCAAACATTACAGTAAAATGTTAAGTCAGGCAAAAATCAATGGATAATGGTTAAGTTGAGGGGGAAAGTTTGAGGAGGAAAAGTGTAATTCTATAATCTTATAATGTCTATAATCCATAATAATTATAATTTATAATTAAATATAATGTACAATAATTATAATTATACAATCTTATGTCTGCCCAAAGATTATTTATTACTTAGGAGTTGAAAAGTATTAATTGCTCAGTGGAGAAACTAAGTAACAGCATGACTCGATGATCAAAATCAGGACCACCATCGAAATGTGGATGGCATCATGCCTCCAGATATGACACCCTGAGAAGGACACATGATGTTCTGACCAGGGATACTTCACTTCAAGAATGTAATGAGAAAACATAATTACACTCATTTAGAAACCTTCTTTAAAACAACTGGTCTGTATTCTTCAAAAATATCAATGTCATGAAAAACAAGGACAGACTGAGAAGTTTTACAGATTAAAGGAGATTAATGTGAACCGAAACACATTATACAGTCTTGGACTGCATCCAGCACTGGAGACTTTTTAAAAAAAGAAAACAATGTTATTAGGGGTATTGTTGGGACAAGTGACAAAATAAAAACAAGGAATGTTAGATTAGACAAAAAATAGTGTATCAATTTTACATTTCCTGAATTTGATCATTCTACTGTAGTTATTCAGAAGCTATGGTGGGGGGTGGGAGGGAAGGGAAGGGAAAGTTCCTGACAAAGAGTCATGTGTTGATTTTGGTAAAGGGAAAGGCAGTATAACAAAAGTGTGTGACCAGCAAAATAACAATAGGGAAAAGGAGGACACAGAGAGATACACAAAAGGTATAGACAGCAGAGGCAAATACTATCATATACACAATACTGCACTATCAGTAACAACAAACACTAGTCTATGGGTGAATACATAGGCAGACAGGTGAGAAGATCAGACGGGAGTAGGCGAATGGGAATATACCCATGACCATAGACAGAATTGGCTGATGATATTCCTACATGTGTATTTGTGCTACAAAAATATCCATACACATTATAAAACTAACAGAGGACAAGATTGGGGTAGCTTCTTAGCCACAACCAAGCACCTTGAGGAAGTGATTCACTGGGCCTGCGGGCTTGGGACCATGGTCTCAAGGGCCATCAAATTCAATTAACACAATATAGTACATAAAAATATTGTTCTATATCCTACTTTGGTGAGTAACAATCAGGGTCGTAAAAGCTTTCAAGCCGCCATCTAAGAAGCAACTATTGGTCTCTCTTTGTCTGGAGCAAAGAAGAGGGAAGAAAATCTAAGACATGGAAACAATTAGTCCAAGGGACTAATGGACCATGGGAACCTCAGCCTTCAGAACCCTGAGACCAGAAGTACTAAATGGTGCCTGGCTACTGATACCAACCACTCAGAAAGGGATCAAAATTGGAAATCCTGGATAGAGTGGGAGGAAAAATTTGGAACAAAATTCAAAAACACAAAAATGACCAGAATTACTGGTCAGATAGAAACTGATGAAACCACCAAGACTATGGCCCCAGGTTATTCTTCAGGCCTGGAATTGGACTAACTTCCATGGATTAGTTCTCAGCCAAATAATAGAAAGGCCTATGAGTGAAACACTTACCCCAAAGAGAAGCAATCTTTAGGACAGTCAATGGTGAGAGATCAGAAAGGCAGCATTTGCATAGAGGGAAGCTAGACAGACAGGAATGCATAGGTAAGAAGGACACAGGGAAGGTGTAACCACAGGGAGGATATGGGGGGAGATCTATTTATTTTGGGGATTGAATCAGTGCCATGAAACAAAATGTTTATGAATTTTTTAATGTAAAGCAAATCTGCTTTGTAAATTTGCACCCAAATCACAATAAAAAATTTTTAAAAGAAGCAGCTCTGGTGGCACATTGTTAAGTGCTCAGTTCCAGGGGAGAAAACACCGGTAGATCTGCTTCCACAAAGATTTACAGCCTAGTAAACCCTAGACCCAGGAGCAGGAGCACATTACCCAATAAGCAAGGTAATGGCAGTTCTACTCTGTCCTATATGGTCGCTATGAGTTGGAATTGATTCGAGAGCAAACAACAATTGTGGTAATATAATATCCTTGTTTGGAGGGGAAAGACTCTGAATTAAAAAGGGTAAAGGGATAGTGTAAACAAAGTACTTTCAAATGATTCAGTAAAATCAACTGATTAATTATGTATGTGTATGGAGAGAGAGAGGGAGGAAAGGAGCAGGGAGAAAGAATGACAAAACAAATATGGCAAAATGTTAAAAGTCAGTGAATAATCTGCACATATAAAGGAGTGCTCTCTAACATTCTTACAACTTTTCTGTAAGGTTAAAATTATATCAAAATGAAAAAGTTTTAAAATCCCAATGAAGTGCTAAAGTTTTTCTCCAGGATCAAAATATTTCCAAATTATTTGTTTATGGTCTTTTGCTAATATTTCAGTCCCAAACTTAGCCTATTTTTTGAGTAATTTATCACTACTGGCACATATAAACCAAACCTACTGCCATCAATTCCAAGTCACAGAGACCCTACAGGACAGAGTAGAACTGCCCCACAGGGTTTTCAAGAGTGTAAATCTTATGGAAGCAGACTGCCTCACCTTTCTCCCATGGAGTGGCTGGTGAGTTTGAATCCCTAGCCTTTTAGTTAGTAGCCAAATGCTTTAACCACTGTGACATCAGAGGTCCTTACCAGCTCATCAAAAACCAAAAAAACAAACTCACTGCTGTGGAGTCAGATCTGACTCATAGCAATCCCTCCTTGGGTTTCCAAGGCAGTATCACTATGGAAGTAGATTGCCCCATCTTCCTTCCGAGGAGTGGCTGGTGGGTTTGAATCCCCAGTTTTCTGGTTAGCAGTCAAGTGCCTTAGGCACTACACCACCAGAGCTCCCTCCTGGCGCATGTTGTTGTTGTTGCTGTTATGTGCCGAGGAGTCGGACCGAGTCAGGCACTATGCTACCAGAGCTCCCACTGACTCATAGAAGGTACTTAATAAATAGTGCTGGAACCATTTGGATAAATGTTTCTAGGCCTGGGCACTTACTGGCACGGTGCTGCTCTGAGCACATTCCAGGCCCAGGAGCCTTTTCAGAAGGTTTTTGGTTCTCCTTGCTCTGGGGAGTTCTGGATGTGCTTCCCTCCCCAGGGCCCAGACTGCCTACTCCTAGAGCCAGTTTTCAAAGGATGGTGCCATCTCAGCCAACTGCAGGAGCTCCCTGATCAGTTTGGGAGAACTGACATGCTAATTGTGTTAATTGTGTCATTGTTTCTAATTCTTTCATATGCTTCTCTGCAGTCCCTCCATTTCTTGATCTGTAGAATGAGGGTAATAATAGGACTTAACTCATGGAATTGATCGCAATATTGAATAAGATAAAACTTAGGCAGTATTAAGCATAGTTCCCAGCATACAAAAAAAATATATTATTATCATTTCTGCTAGATTATCTTGGAATGTAGAATGCAAAGTCAAGGTCTTTGGACCAACTTCCCCATGTTTTCTGCGCTGTTTTTCTTCATGGTTTTTATGGATTTCCCAGAGCCATCATGGGCTTGGAGTTAGACAAATGCCAGCTCTGATATTTATTAACTGCAATGGAAACATAACCTGGTAGAAGTGATTTGGAGGCAGCCTTTTATTGGTGAAAGAACTGCCTGAATGGTCACTACAATCTTCTCTCACTCTGAGATGTTGCCACTCTATGGATACTCATATCCAACATCACTGTCTCTTGATTCTAAGTTACATTAGATAGTAAAACTTGCCTGTCTTCACAAGGCCCTTCCTCTATCTTTGTCAAGTATCAAACCAGACTCTTCTGCCATCATCCCCACACTACTCGAAATATAGCTGCAATGCGGTAGATCACTTTTATATGGTCTTTCTAGCCATGCCATGGTTTTGTAATTCCCACCAAAAGACTGAGTGGGACTATGCAAAAAAAGGATTTTGTGATCCATCAAGGAGATTGTACAGCTTGCTAATAATATAAATAAGGTGCATGACACCCTTGTGGGGGTGGGACGATGCAAGTAAGGTGTATAAAACCCTAACAAGGGGATTGGTCACTATTGCCATTCCACTAGGCTTGAAATGAGCTATCCTAGAGACAGAAGGGGAGATTTCACTACCACCAAGAAGAAAAGATGGGAGCAAGAGCATCCTTTGGGCCTGAGGTACCTGCACTGAGAACCTCCTAGACCCAAGTGCTGGGACAGACTACCCAATAAGCAAGGTAATCTGTAATTTTATCTTTGATGTGGTTAAAAAAAAAAAAAGTGAAACTGCTTACTACAAGTTGGTAAGTAAGTGCAAGGAAGCCTGCACTTACCTTGGTTAATGGATACTCCATCCCTATCAGGGACTACAAATTTGAAGAGGCTTTCATTCTGTAGGAAGGTGCTGTGAAATTGGGAGAGAGTCAAATGCCAGCTATACCTAAAGGAAAATCTTTCATGTGGTGAAAAAATGTGAAATTGTTCACTACAGAGTAGTAACTAAGCACAAGTGAGTCCAAGTTTGCCTTACACTCTGGGTAATTGACACTGCCCAGGAGACAGAGAGAGAGAGAAAGTTGTGATATCAGAGATGGAACAAGATGCTGAGAAGCAGCAGCAGAGAAACAGTGGCAGCAGAACCAAGAGACCAGCAAAAGATGGTGCAGTGGGCTTCTTGGCCTATGGAGCAAGGATGTGCTGACGCATGGAGTGAGAGAGCTGAGAACCTTCGGGCAGGAGGCTTCCTGCAGGAGTGGAGTGCCTTCAGGTACTTGTCAGCGGAGGTACAGAGCTTTGTAACACTTTCCAGATCATGGCAGAGGCAAGGTTGACAGACCAAGAGGCTTAGAGGCCAAGATGCCAAGGGCCAGAGAGAGGTGTGCTTGCAGACATGACTGAGAAGCTGTCCTTATCAAAGAACTATATCCTGAATCATTCTTGATCCTGAATTGTAACCTGTTACTTCCCTGATAAATTCGTAACCATGAGTACAGTCTCTGTGTTCTGTGTGGCCACTGCAATGAGTTATAAAACCCATCAGAGAAGAGAGTGCCATAGAAGGGATAGTTGGTATCAAAATTGGTAAAAATTGGAGAGTGGACATATGTCTGACCTCCACCTTATAGAAATCAGTCTTGGACTGATGTTGATCTTGATTCTCCTCTCTGCCCCTGAAGTTGAAAACCCTCTGATGCCACCTTGCCATTTTTACAGTTGGCCTATCTGGGAATCCAAGTACAAGTCTCACTTTTCCTGATTGTACCTCCTTCACATTTCTTCTTATGGTTTGGTGTGGATGATCTAGAGATGCTTGAGTCTGCACATAGTCTTTCCATATATCTCTTGATAACAGAACTTGGTATTGACTTACCTCAGGGGAGAACTTTGAAGGCTGTAGGATGCACAACTGAAGTGCTAATAAAGAAGGAGGGAGAGGGAAATAGTTCAGCTTGTCCACTGATTAGCTAAAGGAACACCCTATCACATACAAATATACACACCCTATGCATATCTAACTCTGAGTTTCTCCCTTCTTTCCTGGGACAGGGCAGTCCTTGATGCATCAAAACATGCCCACACCACCCAATGTTAGTCAAGACTAATACCACAGCATAATCTGGGCTGTGACCTAGGTTGTCACCTGCATAGTGTTCCTCTGATAATGACTTACCTCCATCCAGTAATGCCAGGAAGGCCAAGATGAGGAAGGGAGAAGATGTCGCAACAAGCTCATACATCACACTTCCAAAGGGAGCACCCACTGCAAAGGCAAAGCAGGCACAGATTCCAGAATTGAGGGCCAACTCATAGCCAGTGTGGATTTGTCCACATTTACCCAGCAATAAACGTATAAAGGAGCAAATTAGTGATGTAAGCAATGTACTTTGAAATGGTTCATAAAAAATAATCAATTAAATAGTTAATTAATTATGAGGGGATGAAAGAGAGAGACAGACCATTTACTGAAGGCTACTCCACACCTCATCTGTCAATTTGTTGTGCTATGGTAGCTTACATGTGGCTATGCCTCCAGTATTTCAAAGGCCAGCAGAGTCACTCATGGTAAGTTTCAGCAGAGCTTCCAGACTAAGATCAAGTAGGAAGAAAGGCCTGGCAATCTACTTAGAAAATTAGCCTATGAAAACCTTAAGAATCACAACACAACATTGTCCGATAGAGTGCTAGAAGAGGAAGCCCCTACATAGGAAAGCACTCAAAATGCACAGTAGCTACAACAATGGACCAGAGCACACCAATGATCAAGAAGATGGAGCAGGACCAGGTATCATTTTCTTCTGTTGTACACGGGGTTGCAATGGATTGCCATGCTAACTTGACAGCAATTAACAACAACAACTAGAGCAACTAGGGGCTATGCTCCATATGACATTTTGGAAAGTCAGAGATGAAGAAGATCTTGTCCCTACACACAAGGAGCTCACCTTCTAGTGGAAAAAAAAAAATATGTGTGCATGTGAAGAGAGAATGTGCACAAATAATTACAACACTTGATGAAAACTACAACAGTAGAAGTTTACATTGCACAGTGGAGTGACTGAGAAAGCTAAGATAGCCAGAAAGACTTTGCCAAAATGCCAGAAAGAAGCATTTGTGAAGGACACAGAGGTGTCAGAAAAGAGAGGGTAGTTGGAGAACAAAGAAAACTAGACTGTAAGTGGGTGTTTGCAAAGAGAAAAGATAGGGATGGTTGAGGCTGAATAACAAAGGGTCCTTTATACACTGGTGAGGTGTCTATTTGACCTTCTGGGTTAGGGAGAAACATCATTGCTTTTTGGCAGAGGAGAAACCACCCACTCTGGGCTTCGAAGAGTCTTCTGACAGCACTACAGAGAAAGGTGGGAATGTGCAAGAGATCAGGTGAGAGGCTGGAACTATATTCTAACTTAGATACAATGGGGATCACTTGAAGAAGTGACTGCACAGGGCATAATGAGCTTGTTATTCATTTGGGAGTGAGAAATTACAAAGAACACCATATCAAACCAAAGTTTTAGCTTAGGTGTTTGGGTAGATGACTATCAGCAAACAGTAGGGCTTATCTTTCCTATCCTCCTCCTGGGGATAAGGGATGGAGAGTGTACCAGGAAAGAAATTTTTGGTATTTTATTAATCTTAAATTCAGATTCCTGTGTCTTATCTCCTTAACTAGCTTGTAAGCTCCTGGAGGGCAAGCACTGTGTCTGAAGCTTCTTACTTATATCCCTACTGAGTTAGCATTGTGGCTGGCATGTAATAAGTGCTCATCAAAAGTACGTGGCTTGTTCAACTAGCCAGTTAAGCCATATGATGGATGAACCTCAAAGAAGTAGAACTTAATGATTGACAGATTGAATCCTGGTTCTGGCATTTCCTTGTTGCGTGAATTTGTATGGGCTATTTAACTTTCTGACCCTCATCTCTAGGAGCTCTGGTAGTATAGTGCCTAAGACATTTGACTGCCTACCAGAAGACTGGCAGTTCAAACCCACCAGCCACTCCTCGGAAGGAAGATGGAGCAATCTACTTCCATAGTGATACTGCCTCAGAAACCCAAGGAGGGGTCACT